CTTGCCGGCACCTCCACCCGGGCGTAACGCCCTTTGCCGCCGGAGTTCTCTCGGACCACAACGGGCCCGATTTCCGGCGGCACCTTGTCCTCTGGACGGCGGAGGGCGTCCAGAAGTGCACTCTGCACGTCGCCCTCCTCCGTCCATTCCTCCACGTCCAGGAGCATGACGGGCACTGTCATCACCGGACGGTGGACCCGCACGTCATGCTCCTTCAGGGCACCCTTCAAGCTGTCAGCTAGGCTGTCAGCCTGGGCGCCCGATCCCCGGACCTCCAAAAGGACGGCTCCCGTTCGGGTCCGCCTGGTGCCCGCCAATTGAACCCCAAGGGCATTGAGGTCAACAGCAGCCATCGCGGTCCTTATGATCGCGGCGTACTGTTGTCCCTCCTTGAGGGGTCCAATCACTACCGCCTCCGTCCTCGGAACTTTAGCCCTAAGCTGAGCGGCAGTCGGGCCTCGGGACAGTGGCGGCGGCTTGGGCTTGGGCCCACCATTAACCTCCTCTTTGGGAGCCGTCGTTGCCATGCGCTCCAATTTCTTGGTCCCCCTCCGCTTCACTACCTCAGTCCACAAGGTAGGAACAATACACTTAGGCAATAGGAAACGTACGACCGTTTGTTGGAAATCGGGCGCACGACACACAATCCGCAAACCAGATCTGACGCAGTTAGATATAACCGGCGACCCACGAACGCGCGCGTTATTAACACAGACGATATGTAATTACGCAGCGGTCTTTAACGACACGGTGGGTCGCACAAAATTAATCGAGCACGATATTCTATTGAAAGACCCGACTCCTATCGCACTAAAACCGTACCCCTACCCTCTGCACAAGCAGGAGGTTATTGACGATATGGTAAACGACATGGAGGCGCAGGGGCTAATAGAAAAGAGTGTATCGCCGTGGTCAACACCGATAGTACTGGCCAAGAAGAAGGACGGGACTTTTCGTTTATGTATAGATTATCAACGACTAAACGAAGTAACGTTTTGGACGCGTACCCCATGCCTAATCTAAACGACATGGTTAGGAACATGAGAGGGGCAAAAATGTACACGACTCTCGACTTAAAGTCGGGTTATTGGCAATGCTCTTTAAATCAAAAAGCCCGTAAGTTTACGGCATTTAGAACAAGAAGGGGCTTGTTTCAATTTCGCGTATTACCGTTTGGACTCAAAANATTTGGACTCAAAAATTTGCCTATGACTTTCGTAAGACTTATGAATGAAGTACTTAGAGGATATCTAGATGATTTTTTCCAAGTTTACTTGGACGACATAATTATTTATTCAAGTAGTTTAGAAAATCATTTAGAATAAGGTGTAAAATAGGGTATTCCGAAATTTCCTTTTTGGGCCATATTGTACACGGCGAGGGCATAGACAAACAGCCCGAAAAACTCGAGTCCATCCGCGTCCTATCGGTCCCACGGAATATCAGGGACCTACGTAGATGTCTCGGCATATTTAATTGGTATTGTCAATTCGTCGACAACTACGCCGAANTGTCGACAACTACGCCGAAATAATAGCGCCGCTGACAAAGATAAAGTATCGTCCCGTTCCGACGCCCTACGCCCGGGACAGAGCGGCCGACGTGGCGAGAACGTCCTCCGGGACGGGCTTGGCCACTCGGCTGCCACCAGCGCATCAAGGCTACAGAAAGCTTACTCCCTCCGACGTACCATTAAAAGCATTAACCGTGCTTTCAAGGAGCGGAAGGACCGCGAAAGGGAATCGGCAGTCCGTCCACCATCCGAACCGGCACCGCCTACCCCAGCACCGAGGACCCGTCCGACGCCGCTGTCGGCCATCGTTCGGACGGCCGGCGCCACACGGCCAACACCAGTCATGCCAACGCTAGGGGAAACAACATCGGGGCCAAGCCCCATGGACGTGGACGATCTGGGTCGTGCCGTGGAGGCGTTCCTGACGGGCCCATCCGCTACTGATTCTCCTCATCCTCCTTCAGACTCCCCTCCTGAAACCCCTCGTCCCGAGTAATCGGTCGAGGAGTTTCCTTCCTATACTTCCTCGGTCCTTATGTCATCCGTAGGTTACGGATGACCGGACCGAATAGTCCTTTCCCTCTTGCCAGCGAGACTGAAGGTTTCAGTCTAATACGGTAAGTCTTGAACGCAATATCAATGACCACACACACAGGAACATGGCGGTAAGTCAACAATTGTTTATTACTTATAACTACTGTGTATGCTACGACAATTTGTTTACAAATATCGGCCGGGTCAAGAAATAGACTGACGGCTTGGTGGGGGGGGAGTTGACACGGCACCGCCTTTTGCTCTAGGCTGGTGCTCGGCCGTGTCTCTCTCGATATCAGCCGTCCAGCTATTAATATGACAATCGGTTGTCTCCCCGCCCTTGACACTGATAAGGCCGCCGCCGAATATAGATTACAGATATTGCATTCTGTTCTGTTTCCGACGTAGACCTTAACTGGTTACCCGTTGTTTTTTGCCGTGTTTTTTGAGCTGTGCGTGGTTTCCTGGTGGATTAAGATTTGGTTTTTTTTTTTTTGTTGATCGATGTAAGAAAACTATATCACGAAATATGTATATATATATATATATACATCTTGTGCGGTCATAGTGGTAGCGAACGTGATTACTATATATATACATACTTATATTTATATATTTATAAATTTCTGTGCGGTCGTAGCAGCGGATTACGCATTAACGATAGTGTATCTATACTCCGTACTATCAACTATAGTGTGACATACATATCTACTTATCCATAATTATATATATATATAATTATACATTGTGCGTACCATATTGGATTACGCGTTAGTTGTTTATATTGATCCATACATCTTTCAAAAGTTAAGTTGAAAAAGTTCTATTTTCTGCATGCATTTTTTAGATTTGAACCCCCCTCGTATATAGGGAAATGATCCGATTTAAAAAAACAGTATGTGGAATGAAAGATATATATAAAATCTACTCCTCATGAAAAAATTGTACTGATCCATACATTTTTCAAAAAGTTATAGCATAATAAAGTTAAAAATGTAAAATACAAAATCGAAAATTTTCACACAAAAATAGCATTTGGTAGCCATTTTTACCGTGAAGATAAAATAAAGTCCGAAATTTTTTTTTTACCATTATAAAGTATATTACATTAGCTTTAATTTAATATATATATATAAAAGTGTCAGACTTTCCGGAATATTTTCAAAAGTCAAGTTGAAAAAATTAATTTTTTTAGAAAAAGTTGTCATTTTAAATCCCCCCTGTGGGCAGGTAAAGGGTCAAATTTACATAAAAAATATACCAAATGAAAGGTAATAATATCATGCATCTACTTAAAAAAAATTATATTGATTTAGTTATTTTTAAAAAAGTTATGGCAATTTTAAGTAAAAAAAATTGAAAAAATTTCGAAAATAAGCGTTTTTTAAATTTGTAATTTTTTTGAAGGTTACCCCCATTTACGGGGAACGAGGGAATTTTTTTCAATTTTTGAGGATAAAATCTTTGGCTAGATACGATTTGTGATCTTTTGACGTATCATTGAAAGAAATCGGTTGGGTGAGAGCTGAGAAAAAGTGGTAACAGACACAAAAAAAAAATAAATAAACACATTTTAGAAAACCAATACCTTATCAGCTTCGCATCGAAGCTAAAATATTGAAGAATTNTAAATAAACACATCTTAGAAAACCAATACCTTATCAGCTTCGCATCGAAGCTAAAATATTGAAGAATTGTCGAATATTAACGTTTTTTAAATTTGTATTTTTTTGGGGGGATCCCTCCAATTATGGGGAATAAGGGAAATTTATTTATTTATTTTATTTTTTATTTTTATTTTGTTATTCATTTTTCTCAGCTCTTATTTGACCAATTTTTTTCAACGATTCGTCAAATTATTACAATTTGTATCTATTTGAACATATTACGCTCCAAAATTTAAAAAAAATTCCACTAAATTAATTAAAAAGTTGCATAGCCCACATTATTCATATATATAATTAAAATGATTTATTTCTTATGTTCTCAAAGTATTAATTGACAAATTAATTTTTATATTATATAGGTTTTACCTACAAAGTTAAATAATTTTACTTTGTTTTTTATAAAATTTATAATTCTAATTGTATGATATACAACCCTTTTATAGTCATATGAGGTCAGGAACTTATATAATTACTATTAATAGTAAATTTATGAGAAAAGCTCAACATTTCGTTAATATCACCATTTTGTAGTACTTATATTAAAATAAATAATTTTAATAAAAATCATATTAATGATTTTTATAAAACTCATAGTGTTTAAATATATGTGTTGTTTATGTTGATCCTTAATTAGTAATAATCTCAAATATTAGAGGTTATATATAGTTCACGTTATATAATTAATTATTCTTTGTGCCATCAAATATTGTACATTACATTGCTAAAATTAATGCTAGATTTTTCATCAAATAAATTATAAGTATTTAATGTTTCTAAGTAATCAATGAATGATCGAATAACATTAAAATTGACGCTCTTAAATATGTAATTAAGATATCTTCCAAAGTCTAGGTTAGTATTATCTACTGATTTAATCGAGTATTTAAAATAGCTATTGTCCGTGATTTATTCACTGTCGGTTGTTTCATCAATAGATTTATNGTCCGTGATTTCTTCACTGTCGGTTGTTTCATCAATAGATTTATTAAGCAAATTATAATGTATGTAAAAATGAACTTCATTGGATGTGTGTAAAACTTCTTCTGTAGTCCAATTTTCAACTATCGTACAACCTAACCCTTCACAAAGCATTGATATTATACTGCTAATATAATTTATCAATATGTCTGTATACTCTTGTTGATAAGTTGGTAACTTAATGAGATCAATAGTTCCATCGTTTTTCAAAGGATAATTAATAATGTGCGAGGAAATACTGTCTATTATATTTTTAATTACATAGTCTTTTTCTAATGCTAGATACTTAGAAAATCGTTTAAGTGACATTAACCATTGTNATTTTCTAATGCTAGATACTTGGCAAATCGTTTAAGTGACATTAACCATTGTATCGTTAGATTTTTATTCAATGATACTTCTTGATGTTTAATGTATAAAAATTGTTTCCATGTCAATCTTAACATGATTACTTTGAATAAATTGAAAGAAGTTGAATAGAACAACAAGAAAGAACGAAGATTTGTATTATGCCAATCAAGTTTATGAATATTAGTAAAATCATCTTTCAACTTTTTAGTAATATCTCCCCATTGTATTCGTAAGTTGTAACTATTAATTAACTTTAATACAACAGTGTCGTATTGTGCAAATTTTTTTAAGGATAAATAATATCTTCTAAAATATCTGAAATATTCATATCTCAACGTTCCATTACTATTATTTTCGTCAAGTAATTTTTCAATATCACGTATTTGTGTCTTATGAAATTTAGAAAGGTAATTATAGTTTGACTTTTGATTATCGTCAAAGTCCATGTTATCCATGCAAAATCGACTTCTTGTATCACAATCTTTCGACTCCGAATGTAATTTTTCGTAAACATATTCGTGACATTTCAACATTTCAGCAAATTTTAAAGAGTTCTCTTTTGTAATTTTACCATTAATGAAATAATCTCTATATGCTCCAATTGTAGATGTGTACATGTTCAATAACCACAATGATCCAACTTTAACATCTTTGTTGAAGTATAATGTAGCTATTTGTTTTTTTACGAATTGGGTGCCATTAGAGACTATAGAAATTGCGTAAGAGTAATCACAAAGCTCGTGATCAAAAAGTAATTTAGTTAATTTCAAATGATTCATACCAGCAAATAAATAAGTGCATTTTAATAATACAATGTCGTCTTTTTTGTAGTTTCTTGTCATAATTCTTTTATCATTCTTATAACCAGTATCTAATAAAGCAAAATTACCAAAATCGATAAACAAATTTAAAAAAAAGATCTGTAAAATTACTTTTTCTCTAGAAAATTTAGACCACATTTTAATAATTAATAATGTTCTAGATTAACTGAGTTATATTTATAGTTGTTTTTGAATTATTATAAAAACTAATGTTCGTGCACTGAAATATATTTAATATAATTTTAGTAATAATTGTAAATTATAAAATGTTTACGTCATTTAGTAAACCTTAATGTTGCGAAAATCTGTATTTGCTATTCTAAATGGTTTTATTCTAAATACTAATAATTATAAATAATAAAATATATATACAGTGTGCTTTATTGTGATTTCTGACTACCTTATATTTCGTTAAATAATAACTTTTTCATAACTATTTACAAAATTGAATTAGATTTATTTTCATGAATTATAGTAAATATCAAATATATTAAACAAAATAAAATGTTTTAAAGGCTAGTTTTTAGGGGTAACTTTAGAAGGTTAAATGGGAAAATATTATATATATTTTTACGATTAAATTGAGAATGGTCTAATTATCATTTTGATTAGTCGACAATGAGTTTTATAAAATTAATTTATGAAATATTAGCATTTGAATATTTAGAAGTAGTGAGAAACAGAATTTTACGTTGCGCATCTATTTGCTTCAGCTAAAATTTGCATTCATTCACAAAGTATTAACTCTTAAGAGTCCCACATCTTTTACAATAGTATTTTTATTTTAGCTATAATCTTATACAATGATTGAAATATTCTAATATAAATCACTTTAGCTTTAATACAATGCTGAGAAGGTATTAATTTTACTATGATGTATTTTTTGTTTTTGTGTGTCTTTTATTCACTTATTCTCACCTCTAATTGGACCGATTTTGTTTGACAATATGATAAAAATATATATTTTTTCTTAAATCTGCCATATATTTGAAAGAATGCGATGAATATGAACAAATTTTTTTTTATAGATATCAGGTATTTTTCTATTATTTTATAACTTGTTTTGAAATTTGGCCCTTTACTTGTAATAGGATGGGATTCAAAATGGCAACTATAAGACACGTATAAAAAGTAAAACTAATTTAACATAAATTTTGAAAATGTCCCGGAAATACTGACACTTTTATATATATTTCTTAAAATAAAACTTATTAAAGAAAAAATTACAATTTTTGTGTAAAAATCGGAAAATTAATAATTTTTGTACAAACACTTATTTGAAAGTGCTTTTAAAGAACAAATATAAATTGCATTGTCGTATTAAGAAAGGGGTATTAGGAGACCAACGGTTATTAATTTTTTATTCAAAAATATTTATTTTGACTTTAAAATTATACAACATTAATATTTATTTTTAAAAAGAAATTTTTTTAAATTTTGTATGCTTCCAAATTTATGAAAAAAAGATAGGGTCTACAATTTCCTCCACCAAAATTTAATATGAAATTGTTTTTATTCACAATTTTTTTAGTTTTGATGAGAAATTTGATAAGGTAATAATATTACTATGACGTGTTTTTTTTTTATTACATTTTATATTTAATCGCTATAATAAATATTTATTTATATATTACATTTAAAAACCATAAAACTACAGGCTATATTTTGAAAATTTTAACTACTTTGAATTGCCTATTTTACGATTCTGGAATAGTATTGTACAATTTACGGAATTAAGGTCAAAAATTACCTTTAATTATTTACACGAAAATGTTTAATTTGATTTCAAAAACATTTTTAAATAAAAAAAACGGTAGCCCAGTGGGGTCGAGACACAGTGTAGACAAGGCATAGATGGGACAAGTATAGATGATATTTGACAGTGATTAAAATCACTATCATAAGAAACACTTCGATGCAAATCTGTAGATAGTGTTTCATTTAGAGAAATTGGTGGATTATTCCAAAAGTAACATCAACTCTTTTTTCTTTGATTATTAAAGAATTAGATAAATAGTTTTATAAAGAATAATAGGACCCGTTTCCTTTCTTACTGAACATTCTATATATGATTATTATGATTAGATAGTTAACCACTAGACTTCTTCTAATATAATAATAATTAAAGAATTTTTGTTTTGGATTATTTAAATAGTACTTAATTCTAGAATTTTAAAAGGTTAAATAATTTTAATTTCTATTATAAAAATACAAACTTTATTTTTTTTTATGGCAATATATATATTTAACTAGCCTATAAATAAGTAGATAATCTTATTAAGGAAGTGACTAGTCGATAACACTTTTGAATCACACAAAAAAACATTTTATAGTTATGGTTAATATAGTGATAACTTAATTATACAGAGTGTTCAGTAAGTCAGGAAACGGGTTTCTATTGTTCTCATTGTTTGTAACAATGAGAACAATAGAAACCCGTTTCCTGACTTACTGAACACTCTGTATAATTAAGTTATCACTATATTAACCATAACTATAAAATGTTTTTTTGTGTNTTGGAAGAACTATTTTATACAGTTCGTCCAACTATAATATCAGTAAAATTTTTAAAATTGAAAGTAAATTTAGTTTATAGTTGTTACAACTATATAATTTAGTGTTCACTATAAAGACCATATTTTGAGTTGGCCAACTACATGGTTTATTTCACGCAGTAGGTCAAAGTTATGAATATTTTTATACTCGGATTAGAAGAGTAGCGCAGCAAAGAAACGTATAATGATAAAATAACATTGGATTACTGATAACTTTAGAAATATTATTCAAAAGTTGTATCCGATCAGTTATTTTATGATTAGATAGATCACTAGCTAGTTAATTATTTATTTCGCTATTTGAAAAAAATTAATTTGACACCATTATAAAGTATTTACATAAAAATAATTTATGATTAATGATTTGATAAATAAGCCAAACCTATAAGAAACCAATTTGTTGCAATTAATTGTTCATAATATTACATTCTTCTACTTCCTTGCCTTAATCCCAAATAGTTGGGATTAAAGCGGATAAAAAGTTTAGGATGAGGGATACCTTATTTCCTAAACTTCCCCTTGACAGATTCTCCCACATACACTACGCTAACATCAGTGGTCCTCATATCGCATTCAATTATATCCCTCCATCTCTTCTACCTCTTCTTTCTTTAACATTTATTTCAATAACTTTTCTTACAGCTTCCGATTCTTTCTCCTCATAACATGACCAAACCTAATCTAAGTCTATTTTCCCTTATATTATCCACGATTGACGCTACACCTATACTCCCTCTTATATGCTCATTTCTTATCTTTTCTACTCTAGTCATTCCACTCATCCATCTAAGCATTCTCATCTTTGCTACACTCATTCTCTGCTCTACTTTCTTATCAACCACACAACACTCTTAACAATACATCATAATTGGTCCACTTAAGTCTTGTAGAATTTACCTTTCAGCCTTATAGGAATATTTTTATCGCATAAGACACCAGACGTTTCTCTCCACTTCAAACACCCGCACTTAATCCTGTGTCTTACATCCTCGTCAATACCACCGCTCTTTTGTACAACTGATCCCAAATACTTAAAACTTTCCACCTCTCCAATCACGTCCTCACCTATTGTCACTGGTCTCCTTATTTCACCTACCTCGTGTTCTCCTTTATCGAACTCGTACTCTATATACTATGTCTTACTCCTACTTATTCTTAAAACCTCCCCCCCGAGCACGCCACTGCTCCTACTAATTCTTAAACTCTTTTCTTTAAAAGCTGATATTCACACCTCTAGCCTTTGATTAATTTTCTCCCTATTTTCTCCTATTTACACTATATCGTCAGCAAACAACATGCACCACGGCACCTCTCCTTGTATTTCTCTAGTAGTTTCATCCATTACTATAGAAAATAAGTAAGGGCTTAAAGCAGAACCTTGGTGTACTCTTACTCTTATCCGAAAACCTTTCTGTTACTCCTCCTACACTTTTTACCCTGGTACAAGTGCACCATACATATCTTCTATTATATTAATGTACCTTTTTGGGACTTCTTTTCTCATTAATGCCCACTTTAAAACCTCACTCGGTACTCTATCATACGTTTTCTCCAAATCTATAAATACCATATACAGCTTTTTCTTCTTTTCCCTAAATTTTTCTATTAGTTGCCTCACTCAAAACACTGGCTCCATTGTTGACTTACCAGGCATAAATCCAAACTGGTTTTTTAAATACTAATGTCTTATTTTTTTTTCTCTTATTTATTATATTTTCCCAAATTTTCATACTATGACTCATAAGCTTTATGCCTCTATAATTTCCACACGCCTGTATGTCTCATTTACTTTTAAATATCGGCACAAAAAAACTATTCCTCCATTCATTTGGAATTTTCCCTTCTAATGAGATTTTATTTAAAAGATTCTTCAACCATCTTATGTCAACACTGCCTAATATTTTCTATATTTTTACTGTCACTGCATCTGATTCTACTGCTTTATTATTTTTCATTGATGCCACAGCCTCTGATACATCTTTCTCACTAATTAATTCTACCAGTCCCTCATTCCATGAGATATCCCCTTACGTCTCTTTTGGATACGCCTGATTCAGTAATTTTTCAAAATATTCTTTTAACCTTTTTTCCACATCATCATCACTCGAGTGTGCCCTATTATCAACACTTTTTATACGACTTAAATAATGATAATCTTTAGTCTTTTTCTCTCTTATTTTTCAAGTCTATAGATTTCTTTCTCACCTTCCTTTGTTCGTTGCCTATCATACCTCTTGAACTTCGCCTTCTCTCCTTTTGCTCTTCTACTATACTTTGAATTGCTTTTTCTTACTTTCTAAGATTTTTTGAACGTCCTCATCCCACCACCAGGTTTCCTTGTTCTCTGGCATTCTACTCTTACTCTCACCAATAATCTCCTTTGCAGTATTCTTTACACAACTAGCAAATCTATTCCACACTGTTCTCTCTTTTACCATCTTTACAAACTCTTTTTCATTTTCTCCTTTCAATTTCCACCACCAATTTTTCGATTTTACACCGTGATTCTTCTATTTT